GTAGGCGAGGTACTATTACTATTACTAGTATTAGATAGTACCAGCAGAGCATATAAATCACGTTGATTTATATGCTCTGGTACCAGGGTACGTTCCGGTATACCGGACCGTACCCAGGGTACGTTCCGGCAGTACGCTGGGGGACATAGACCCTCTCAGCATTAGTGTTAGTCATACTCTACTCTGTCATAGTCATACTTATTGTACTACTACTGCTACTAGTAGTAGTTCAGTAGTTCGTAGTTCCCAATCATCTGAACGTGATCATTGTTTTTGTTGTGTCAATGTGTGCCATCCTCAAATGAGCATTCTAAGTTTGGCCTTTTCATTTACGTCAGTTCCTCGTTGGTTAACTGCAAAAAATAAAGCTGTTTCTACTGCGATCTGCAGTGTTGCTCTGTTGTCTCTCTCAACGTTGTCTCTCTCCATCTTCGATATACTTCCTTGGATCTTGAGGACTAATGTCTATGAAATTATGAGATTATTGTGTACTAGCACAGTATAATATAAACCTACATTATAGTCCACCGTGTACACTCCGTGTGCGGACACTCTAGACTCTGCAGTAGTCTAATTTATGAAATAATTTAAATCATAATTATTAAATTAATAAACAATTGTCACCATAAAACTGAGCATAACGCGTGAATTTTTTAGTTTTATAATTTGTCATTAAAGAAAAAGAAGGCTTGACATTGGCTTAATTAAATGTTATTTTTAGCCTGTATGGTAACAGGTTTACATTTGAACAATTCTAACGGGAAGTGGTTATGATTGTATTTTCTAGGTCCCACCTACTGTATACTATATTCCAAACTTCATATCGGAAGAAGAAGAACGTCAGATTCTTGAGAATGTGTATAGTGCACCAAAACCCAAGTGGACTCAACTACTTGGTAGAAGATTGCAAAACTGGGGTGGTCTGCCTCACCCAAAAGGAATGATTCCAGAAAAGATGCCAGAAGTATGCATTCATAGTCAGTATTTATAAATTTTACATGGGCTTTCCATACCTTTACAGAATGTAAATATAGAGCCATGAATATCTAACACATTCCATCTTTATGGTAGTTACATTTGATTCTTAAATATATCAATTAACAAATCTTGTACCTATAAGCAAACCTCACTTCACAAAAGACCGAGTGCTTATCATTTAGCTGGATTTCAATAAAACCAAGTAGGCATATATAGGTATTTCAGTCTGAAAGACTAAATGCTGATATTCACATAATGGTTTATATCACTAGTTATTTCTTTTTACCTGTTATAAAAGTGGTTAGATGTACTCATACAAAGACTGTCAGGGCTGGACGTGTTTGATGGCAAAATTCCCAATCATGTACTGGTGAATGAATATGAAGCAGGGCAAGGAATTATGGTAGGTATTTTTCTTGCTTTCTCTCGATTATCATTTAAAATCACAGGTTTGTTTATAAGTCGAGCATAATTGAGTAACCTCAGGCTGATGCAGGATTTTATTCTCTGTAGTCTTGGAATTGAAGTAACATTGTCAGATATGCAGGTTTTTACTTTATAATTCCTACTGTACTTCCTCTTTTTAGCCACATGAAGATGGCCCATTGTTTCATCCAGTCATATCAACATTGAACATAGGGTCTTACACTTTCCTTGACTTCTACTACCACATAAGTGATGGAACATCTCAAGCAGAAGTAAGGTTTTCCACTACTATACATTAAATTCGTTGCATTGTTGAAGTTTATTGTACACACTTCACGTTAGCAGCTAGTTAACCAAAATTTGGCCTTTACATAGTTACAGATCTATGGTACGAGATCCAAAACTGGTACAGTATCAAGTGAACGTAATAGTAAAATTGTAAACACAGTTTGTGTGCATATGTGTTGTGCAGTGCAATTCACGCCATCACTACCAGAAGCTGCTCAAAGAATAACATCAACAGCCAGTATTTTTTAAATTCTGGCTATTAGTTATTTCTCACTGAATAGTATAACTGGTGTGTAGCATAAATGAGGTCTACTGTAATAAATGAATAACACCGAGAAAAACTAAAATAATGATGCACGTTCGAACTGTGTTATCAGCTTTACCGTATAGAACATAAAGGTGTTTTTTCATTCCTTTCTTTTTTTGTCTGTAGTCGTGTGCAGAACAGGAGAGATACTTCATGTCGTTATTCTTGCAACCACGAAGCTTACTTCTGATCAAGAGCGACATGTACAACAGGTGATGAACGTGGCTGTATTTCACATTAAAACAAGTAAAAAGCGAAAATCTCGTTGTCCACATGTATCGCGCAATAGAATCCGGCTAATAGCGGGGGTAGCAGGTCACCCAGATTTACCCAGCTAGGTCCCACCCACACCCCATCAATACCTCATCCACGCCCCAGTATGCCGCATAAACTACATGGCTGTATTTCGCACTGTTGGTGATCCCAAGGTCTAGTAGTAACAGATTTCGCGTCACGACGTCGCCGAACATAAGTTTCGCAGCAGCAAGCAGGCGTGGCGCGTCGACCGGCTAAATCCGACGTTTCTTCGCCGATCCGCAGGTTCCTGCACGGCATCGGTCCGAAGACGCAGGACGTCATCACGGACAAGATTGGCAACTTGGGCTTCTGCGACGCTAGCGTCGGCGAGGTGATGGAGAGGCAGCGCAGGATCTCGCTGACGATTCGGCACGTGCCACACACGCTCAAGGTGAAGCTGAAGCTGGGGAAGACCTGAGACATGATGACGACGACGTGAGGATCGCGGCGAGTGTTGGCCGTCTCCGAGGCGGTTTTGTCTTCTCCCTCCCGCCGTACACAGGTGTACGCGATGCCTAGAGCGTTAGCTTCCGGAGGGTGCATCAGTATCTGTAGGCAGATAGGGCAAGAACGAGAGAGAGAGCAGCAGGGAGAGAGAGGGAGAGAGAGAGAGCAGTAGGGAGAGAGAGCAGCAGGGAGAGGGGGAGAGAGAGAGAGAGAGGAGAGTGAGAGATACATGCCATTCTTCCATACAGAAACAAACATACATGCTGGCGGATGTTTCCAAATTGTTGTCTGAAAAGAAACCTCGTTTTCTCTTTAATGTTACTGCTAAAATAATCCTGTAAATACAGATTAGTTAAGGGAACAAGCGATAAATAAGTTGCTCCATGTCAAAATCATTAGCCACTTTCACCTGTGACTGTAGATTTTATTATTATCATTATATACTGTCAGTACACAGGCACAAGGCAACTTCACCCCCTAAATTGCACTATCTATTGCCTGTCACTCAAGTTAAGGTATTGTAGATATTTTATTACTTTGTTGATATCTTCCACACCCATGTCGTACTGTAAATGTACTGTAGCACCTCGATTCATTGTTGCAATCACCTTTTACTCGGGTTAGTTCCGACGTGTAAATGGGGCCGTGTGAACGCAGAGTGCCCAACTCAGTGAGGTGGAATCACCCACCAACACAAGTTAAGCACGTTGAGTTTATTTCAGCATTCGGAAGCAGAGTAAACGCACCGGTGCCGTGATGCAGTCTCATAGAACTATAAACGCGGCTGGTAGACTGCTTGTATTGACCCTCTGTCTGTAGTCGTCCATCTGTCGCTGTGCCGGGTGTGCCATCAGCAGACGCCGACCGACTGCTTCACTACGAATGACCACATTCAAGTAACCATGCTATAGGTATCTTTTGTGTAAATGATATGCTTTACTATTTGCAAAAATGCATGTGATGTTAATAGACAGACAATCAGTAAAAAGTGTGTGTATGGTTGTATTTATATTGTAATCTAGGGAGTGTCATGTTAAATTAAAGCATTTAAAAACATGCACCCTCGTGAAACTTTTTTTTGTTGTAAAGCTAACCCATGATTTGACAGAATTGGAATGAAGCACGACATGAGCACACCGACGTCTCATTTCGAGAAAGTAACAGCACACCGGCACGTATTTCTACCGTGTGCGTGAAACGGATCGTTTACACAAACCCGAAAAACATAGTGAGTTCGAGAAGCACAAAGAGCAGTTTACCGAAGTGTTCTGTCATTTATTTGCACAGAATAGTTTAATACAATCTAGGAATATTACGTGTGTCTTCCCCACGCCTACATCTCTCTCTCTCTCTCTCTCTATCTCTCCATGTCTTGAATAGAATAAGGAAACTTAACAAGAAGCACACAGAGACAACACGTTGGACGTAGCCGTGCAGAACCTGCCTCTCCCCCCATCATGTTCGCAGATTCATTTGCACAATTATATATTCTCTAGCGTGCAATGCGAATCCAAGCCGAGTAGGCCTTGTTGCACCGACAGTACAAACCATTAAAATCGGGGGAGCTGCCATGGATGTGTTAGCTAGCATTAAAATCGGATTGGTATTAGGTGCGTTTTCTCGCGACTAAAAGCATAGGGTGGTGCTGCCTAGTGACATGGGACACCAGGTTGATCAGGGGTAAACCACCGCTGCGTGATTTTTTTGGGATCAACGAGATGGAACATGCATTCCCATCTCCGCCACACACGTGGGTCCAGGTAAAAACTCAATTTAAAACACAATTTCTTACACCTCTAGGGGCCATCATCCACGGCCTGTCGTTGGCTGCAACACTATCTCTACACTGTTACCTGCCGAAAGTTTGGAAAATATAAAAGTTTTCGAACTGCCACGGCGAGCAGTCGACGGTGCTACGACAAAGCTCCGCGGTGAACCTCCCGCAAGTCACGCCACGCCATGTTTTAGTGTCTGTTGAGCTAGAATCCTGGGGGAGCAAGTCCCTACCGTATTCAAGACTCTCTCTCTCTCTCTCTCTCTCTACCTACATACACAGACGGACAGGCTAACAAAGCGATTTTATCAATTGTATACAAACGATGAGACTATTCACGGAGCGATTCCGATTTCGTGCAGACAAATGCGCTACCAGTGACCACTGCACTGCTCGGGGGGAGGGGAGGGGGTATGGCTTGACATCATAGCCTATCTAGAGTTCACAAACTACATATTGAACGTATTGTACACTAGTAGTATGCTAATCGATCGAGATGCGATCCGAGGTCCAAACATGATCACGGTCCCCTCAGCACAGCTAAGAGTACCAATCTGCCAGCTGTCTGTATTTACATTTGGTTCCGACGCGACATTTGCAACCTGCACTGCAGCACCTCCCTACACGCGCAGGGGATGGCATTCATCACGTATGACGAGAAATCGCCCGAACCGAGAACTATCCGCACGTGCGTGCCAGCGTCGGTATAGACTAACCGCATCCACGCGAGGCATATTCCCGCCACTAACCTACGCACGCCATCCCCTGTAACGTGTACACCCAGAGCACTCCCCACGTGGTGGTCGTCGGTGGTCGGCGGGGTATCGGTCGTAACGACGCGAGACCCCACTGAGGAATCATGTTGCTGTCGTAGGGCTTTCCACACGTCAGCCGTGGAATGCACTTGCGCCGTATCTGTTGTGCGCGAGTTCCATCGGGCAAACCGCCCCCGAACGCCGCGTTGGATTAGAAGAATCGCCGTCGACCTCCACGAGGGGGCGCCTCGTAATCGTCCTGCCGACACGGATGAGCGCCGGCCGGGGACGCCGCGCAGCCACCGCGTCGTCGGTCGGCATTTTCTCCTGCTGGGGCGCCGCTTAAGTCCTCCTGTCTCCTCCTGCTGCACCTGGCGTTGACGGAGACTCTTCCTGCGCCGGCGCACACGCCCGCCGCTGCCGCCTGCCAAGCGGCGTGTTGCCGTGGCGCCACCTCGGAGCGGTGGATCGTAGCGGCGCGCGCACGTAACCGCCAAGTTGTAGGAGCGCGCGGCGGGCGACGTAACCGCGGCGACGGCGACGACGGCCGGGACGACGGTCCGCCTCCGCTGCCGCAGCTGATGAGAGAAAGCCACGGCGACGAGAGAAAGACGTGGCGACGACGAGAGATGCGGAATGTTGAGAGCTGCGCGCCGTGGCGGCGGCAGCGATGACGATGACGATGGACTCAGCCGAGCTCGGAGTAAGCGCCGAGGTGGTGGTGCTCTCCGTACGCGTTGAGCGCGCACGCCGTCGCCTGGTTGATCGGCAGTTCGGACTTGCTGCGCAGCAGTGGCGGACACTCGCTCTTGGCGGCGGCCGGCGCAGCCATTGCCTGAAACACGCCAACGACGCGCGTTAGTTTGGACGTGAAACAGATCCACGCGGAGGAGGCGAGGGAGAGAGAGAAAAAGATAGATAGAGACGAATGGGAAGGAGAGAGAGAAGGGGGAGATGGAGAGAGAGAGACAAATGGGAGGGAGAGGGAGAAACGGAGAGATAGAGACAAATGGGAGGGAGAGCGAGAAATGGAGAGATAAAGGCGAATGGGGAGGAGAGGGGAAGAGAAGAAGCGAGGAATGAGGGGCGGGAAGAGCGATACCCGATCAGCGAGATCAATACACAACAGCCATGACAACAACCATCAGTGCTGCCACTGACAGAGCTGGTAGTAAATTATTCTGCAATTAGTGAAACAATATCTAATATATATATATATATATATATATATATATATAACAATAAATATACATATACATGATTACAAGAGAAGCCATTTCTCTATGAGGCAATAATATGACAAAGCAATACTATATAATACCATGAACATATGCACTATGTCAAAGTGCTATACTACGTGTATAAATATGTTCAAAATACTACTGCACGAAGGTTAATGTATTCAAATTATTAGTACTTATTAGTACTTATAATGTAAATATATCTGCACTCAAGGATAAATGCTAGCACAAGCAAATGTGCAATTAAAAATGTTTTCAAAAACAAGTGTAGCAGGCATCATTAAAGGGATTACGTCACGAATTTTCTATGGTAAAATTTGTAAAAAAAAAATTCCCATTTTTTTACATTAAAAGTAAGAACTAACGGGACTAAACAAATCGTCAAATTCTTACCTGATAAGATTGTTTCTCAACTAGTTAAAAATCCAAAAAACCTGGACGATTTGAATTAATGTTGTCTAACATTAATTGCTTGCTATGGGCTATGTATGGGTCACGAGTGTATGCTCACATCGAACAATATAGTAAAATAGGAAGTATAATGCAGCAATTTAACCATAAAATGTAAACAAAGTTACTTATATTTTGTGAAAAAGTAGAAATATTTTTTACCTTTTTTATTATTTACGGTGACGTAATCACTTTAACATGGTAACCGCAGGCATCGATTTTACTCTAAAGTGCTGCAGTTAAAACACAGAGCCTATAATTGATAATAACCTATATATATATATTTATATATATATATATATCGTATATCTATCTATCTATATATATATATATATATATATATCATATATCTATCTCTATATATATATATATA